GAGGTGGGAGGAGGGGATACGTGGGAGGAAGAACAGGTTATGGAGGCAGGGACGAGCTGGACTGGTTTTGGGATGCGGTAGGGGGAGGGGAGATTTTGAAGCTTGTGAAATCCACATTGATACCATTGGGCTGCAGGGTTCCCAAGCGGAATATGAGTTGCTGTTCCTGCAACCTTCGGGTGGCATCGTTGTGGCACTGCAGGAGGCCCAGGATGGACATGTCATCTGAGGAATGGGAGGGGGAGTTGAAATGGTTCGCGACTGGGAGGTGCAGTTGTTTATTGCGAACCGAGCGTTGGTGTTCTGCAAAGCAGTCCCCGAGCCTCCGCTTGGTTTCCCCGATGTAGAGGAGGCCACAATGGGTACAGTGGATGCAGTATACCACATTGGCAGATGTGCAGGTGAACATCTGCTTGATATGGAAAGTCTTCTTGGGGCCTGGGATGGGGGCGAGGGAGGAGGTATGGGGGCAGGTGTAGCACTTCCTGCAGTTGCAGGGAAAAGTGCTGGGTGTGGTGGAGCTGGAGGGGAGTGTGGAGCGGACAAGGGAGTCACGGAGAGAGTGGTCCCTCAGGAAAGGAGGTAAGGGTGGAGAGGGAAAGATGTCTTTGGTGGTGGGGTCGGATTGCGGAAGTGTCGGAGGATGATGCGTTGGATCCGGAGGTTGGTGGGGTAATACGTGAGGACGAGGGGGATTCTTTTTTGGTTGTTATTGCGGGGACGGGGTGTGAGGGATGAGTTGTGGGAAATGTGGGAGACACAGTTGAGGGCGTTCTCGACCACTGAGGGGTGGAAGTTGCGGTCCTTGAATAAAGTGGGAATAAAGGGCTCTTTTCAGGATGGCAGCTGGTGACCAGTGACTGATGCAGGGGTCAGTGTTAGGATCACAATTATTCACGTTATACATTAACAATCTGGACAAAGGAACTGGGGGCATTGTTGCTATCTTTGCAGATGACACAAAAATAGGTAGAGAGGCAGGTAGTGTTAAGGAAGCAGAGAGGGTGCAGAAGGAATTCAACAGGCTAGGACAGTGGGCAAAGAAGTGACAGAATACAATGTGGAAAAGTGTGAGGTTATGCATTTTGGTAGGAAGATTAGAGACATAGACTATTTTCTAAATGGGGAGATCTGAAACACAAAGGGAGTCCTAGTTCAGGATTCTCTTAAGATTAACATGTAGGTTCAGTTGGAAGTTAGGAAGGCAAATGCAATGTTAGCATTCATCTCGAAAGGGTTAGAATACCACAGCAGAGATGTACTGTTGAGGCTATATAAGGCCCTGATCAGACCACACTTGGAATATTGTGAGCAGTTTTGGGCTCCGTATCTAAGGAAGGATAGCTGGCATTGGAGGGGGTCCGGAGGAGGTTTAAAAGAATGATCCCTGGGAACAAAGGATATAAGGAGAGGTTGAGGTCTCTGGGTTTGTACTTGATGGAGTTTGGAAGGATAAGGGGTGAATCTGATTGAAACTTACTGAAAACTGAAAGGCCTGGATAGAGGGGATGTGGAGAAGATGTTTCCATTTGTGGGAGAGACGAGGACCCAAGGGCGTAACCTCAGAGAGAAGGGACAACCCTTTAGACCTGAAATGAAGAGAAATTTCTTCAGCTAGAGTGTAGTGAGTCTGTGGAACTCATTGCTGCAGAGGGCTGTGAAGGCCATATTTAAGACAGAGGTGGATAGGTTCTTGATTAGTAAGGATCAAAATTTATGGCAGAAATCAGGAGAATGGGGTTGAAAAACCTGTCAGATTGGTGATATGGCAAAGCAGACTTGGGCCAAATGGCCTAATAATGGTCCTATATTTTATAATTTTATAGGGTGGGGTGTTCTGAGGTCAAGAATGAATTTCTGAGTCACCTTCCACCCACATGAATAGATTATTGCCTCAAACAACCAAACTGTCATTTTGTATCTCTCCAGGCTGCGGTGACATACAGACAGACTGACATGAAAGACAAATGCCTAGCTTTCATTGAGGCCCACACCAAAGTGAGTATTGAAAATGGCTAATGTATTTAATGGCTTCTTTTTTAGACTCTGCTGTTAAAAGGAAATCAGTTGAAAACGAGCTCAGGCCACTGAACCCATTCGTGCGGATTGAAATATCCATCGATTGTGTGGTCCACTAAATATGAGAATTAGGTGTGTCAATTAGAAATAAATATGTTGCAGATTGGTATGTGTTGCCTCAGCAACAAGACTTATTTTAAAAAATTACAGAACAGTCCATGACTGACCATTATGAAACTTAGGCACTGCTTTTTCCTGGACAAGTGTAATGTTTTAACAGTAGATTAATCAGTTGTACTGATACTAATAGATACGTCAGAGTCCTGTTGCCTCAATTCCGTTTTCTAAAAAAAAAAAATCTATTGGTCAGAACAGAGTTTGATTCGCTCTGTTGGCTGGGTAACTGGTTTGCAGTGCAGAATAACACCAACTACATGGGTTCAATTCTCACATCGGCTGAAGTTACCATGAAGGACTCTCCTTCAGAATCTGTCGTCTCACCTGAGGTGTGGTGACGCTCAGGTTAAACCACCACCAGTCGTCTTCCTGTAATGAGAGAGAGCAACAATGATCTGGCAGGACAATGACAATTTTACCTTTTATTAATGAGAGAAAACTTTCAACCTGGTCAGTTCGATATAGCTATTTTTAATTGACATGTTCAGAGATGTTATTGCTCACCTCTGGAGCAGGTAGCACCTGAACTGAGGACTCTTAGTCTTGGGGTAAGGATGCTAGCACTGCACCATCAGAGCCCTCTTCTGTTTGAGAGCAATGGGTAGCAATGGATCACTTGTAACTCCCTTACTTGACCATTTCCCTCCATAAGCAACACAAATCCACATGTCCTTGTTGGCTTCCATTGGCTCCATCTTAGAGATTTAAATCTTTTGTTTTCAAATTGCTTCTTCACCAACTCCTACTTATACAAGTTTCCTCATTGTTACTTTGCTGTTCAAAAACAGAAGTTGCTGGAAAAGCTGAGCAGATCTGTGAAGAAAAATCAGAATTAATGTTTCGGGTCACTGCTGAGATTTTCCAGCAACTTCTGTTCTCGTTCCTAATTTTACAGCATTTGCAATTCTTTCGGTTTTTATTTTGCTGCACTATTGGCAAACCTTCCAACCATCCCATCCCTACATTTGGAATTCTCTTCAAAAATCTTAACTCTTGCTTCTCAATCTTTAAAATCGTTTTAAGCTCACCTTTGGACTTCGTCCATTACTTGGATATTTGTTGCAGCCCATTCTGATCACTATTCTGAGACAGTCTGTTTGGAAAGTTGCTATAAAGTGTACATTTTGACAATGCCACGTGCTATGTACCATTCAGTAAGATACCTACATGAGAGTTTCTTTTCAGTAAAGGCCTTTCCTTACCAATTTTTTTTCTCTTGGCCTCTGTATTTACTGCCTACTGGGCTTTGGAGTCATGGAACCATTCTGATCTTGCATTCTCTGAGCCTTAAATTTAAAAAGGCTTATTCTAATCTCTTTACCTCTTGGCTAGAAAGTCAAAATGACTGAATTCCTTACCTTTACTGATCCTTATGCCTTATACAGGAATTTTACCCTGCTCTCGAGGGCATTCATGAAGCTCATCTGCTCCTCTGGATAGCATGACACCCAGATCCACCCCACCCCCCCCCCCTATCCCTGTCACCCTGCATTTCCCATGGCTAATCCACCTAGTCTGCACAACCCTGGACACTATGGGGCAATTTAGCATGGCCAATCCAACTAACCTGCACATCTTTGGACTGTGGGAGGAAACTGAAGCACCTGGAGGAAACCCACGCAGAAACAGGGAGAATGTGCCAACTCAGACAGTTCCCCAAGCCTGGAATCGAGCCCGGCTCCCTGATGCTGTGAGGCACTGAACCACTGTGCCATCCCAGATGTTACCAGAGAGCCAAGATTACACTGGCCTCGTGTTGCTGAGGGTTAGATTCTGGCTGCTTGATTGACAGTGGAGTCAAAATCAAGCTTGGATTGTCAGCAGGCTATTTCACAGTGTGTCAGAGCTGAATCACGTCGCTGCTGTCACCCAGATACTGACAGCAGGAAGCAGCAGACTGGAAATCCTGACAGATTTGCTGTGATCAAATCTGAGTTCGAACTGAAATGTTCCCTATTGGCCAGTGCTTGAAATATCACTTCTGCTATTAAACTCTGAACCATCTCAGAAGAGACATTTTATAAATTTTGATGCTCCTATCTTTTATTAAAGAGTCTTTCTTTGGTGTGTAAAAGTTCTTGATGAATTGTACGGTTTTACAAAATTCTCCAGGTACAAAGTGCAATGAAGTAAGTTTTTTCTTAAAGTTTTTTTAAAACAAAACTTATTTCAATGAACAAATACACAAAATTGGGCGGCAGGAAGAGATCATCTGGTTCCCCAAACCTGACTCTCACTCGTGATGGCTATAGCTTCCTTCTGACCATTACCCCAGATGAATGGCAGCAAATTATGACGCGTGCATACTTGAGTATGGAGTGACTGAAAGAATTTTTACATTCAACATTTGTTCAGCAAAGATCGCTGAAAAGCTGCATTTTGAGAACTGGGCCTGTCATTTCCACTGTCAATCCTGGCTTTCTTGTCCTTGTAGCAGAATCAAGCACCCACAAGAATGTAAATTTACAGTTCTGCCAGGATAAGGGGTGCAGCCCTTCCAGACACAAGCCAAATGAAATAAATGCAGGCATAAAAGTGCATGGAAAGAATGCAAAAGTGAGCTTTATTCTGCTACACTAATCCTGCATGATCTGTGGAATGAAAGGCTGGGATCATTGTATCAGCAATCCATTCTGTTAAACTTGTGTTATTTCCGAATGCATGCCTGAGCTACTGGATGTGACTAATTGCTTCCTGTTGCCTGATTATTGCACTAAGAATAACTCATTCACACTAACCTTTTGCGACCTTTGTCACAGGACAGCATGAAGTAAAATAAGGGCTTAAAAGGGGAAGCTGCCAAATGAAGGAATTCAGTTAGCCTTTCTCAGTTTATCTTATTGTCATTTGTCCTGTTGTCAACTTTCCGATTTTAAAAAGTATTTTTAGAAGTAACAAAAATTTTAGATATCACACTTTTTTATCTTGGTTTGAGGTCATTACCAGTTTTGAAGTTGAATAGTAAGACTGTAATGTATCAGCCAGCTTTTGTAAGAATTTTCCTAAATTTTACTCTGTCTAAACTTGAGACAATTTTTGACTCTATTATTAGTATCTTAACCTAGAACAAGTCTGGTTCTCCCGACCACCCTATATTTGCTGACTTACGTTGACTCCCAGTCAAGCAATATCTTGATTTTAAAATTTGCATTCCTCTTACAAATCTTTGCATAGCCTTGCCCCTACTTATCTCTGCAATCTCCTCTGGCTCCACATTACTCAAAGGTATCTGCATTTTTCTAACTCTGTCTGTTGTGCATCCCCAATTTTAATTGCTGTAGCTTTGTTGGCCATACCTTCATGTTGCCTAGGCCCCAAGCTCTCTGGCTTGCATTCTCCTTTAAGGCACTTTTTAAAATCTACCTATTTGAGCAGGTTTTTTTCACTTGACCTGATGTTTTACTATGTGGCTTAACATCATATTTTGAATTATGATGCTGTTGTAGAGTGTGTTGGGCAGGAGATCTTGACACAGCTGGTGATATTGCAACCTCTGGGATGGAAACTCTGGGTTCGATGCCAGGACTTGATGGTCATTGAAAGTGCTCTGTAATGCGATAAACATTTTGATTATCCACCTTTAAATCCTTCCAGTAGGTCAATGGCAGGCAGTAGGGGCAGGAGAATCCATTGGTCAGCTAAGCTGCAGAAGGAATTGGCAGCCTGTCTAATACCTTGCCTGTAAAGTCCTTGGCCCAACCCTCGGAAACATGGGACAAGAGATGAGATAGACAGACAGAAGTCCTCGATATGGTTCATTATGTTAAAGTATAAATTATCGAATAGGGCTTGGAATCTAATCACTCTACTCTGCTCTTGGGTGGATAGCAGTCCAATATGAAGGGCAGTGTGCATGTTCCTACCCTGTACCAAAAGTCTGCCACCTACCATCTTGAATCACAGATATCTGAGGTATTCAAGGTTTTTGAGAAGATTTGAAGCTCATGTCGATGTGGTTATTGACTTGCTCGCCGAGTTGGTAAGTTTGTTTGTAAACATTTTGTCACCATGCTAGGTAACATCATCAGTGCGCCTCTGGTGAAGGGTCAGTGTTCTGTCCCACTTGCTATTTATGTGCCTTGGTTTGTTGAGGTGGATGTCATCACTTGCGGATTTATTTCTTTGTGGTTGGTATATGGGGTTCAGTTCTACATGTTTGTTGATGGAGTTCTGGTTTGAGTGCCAGGACTCCAGGAATTCTCGTGCGTGACTTTGTTTGGCTTGTCCTAGGATGGCTACGTTGTCCCAATTGAATTGGTGTCCCTCTTTGTCCATGTGTATTGAAGTTAGTGATAGTTGGTCATGTCTCCTGGTAGCTAGTTGGTGTTCGTGAATCGTTATGGCTAGTTTCCTTCCGGTTTGCCCTATGTAACGGTTTTGGCGGCCTTTCCATGGTATCTTGTAAATAATGTTTTTGGTTCTGTTAGTTGTGATTGTTGGATCCTTTATTTTCATCAGTAGCTGTTGTAGTGTAGCTGTCAGTTTGTGCGCTACAATGATTCCTAGGGGGCGAAGTAATCTGATGGTCGTTTCAGATATGTCCTTAATGTATGGAAGGGTGACCAGTGTCTCTGGACGTGTTGTGCCTTCCTGTTGTGGTCTGTTGTGCAGGTGTCGATGAACTATGCTTTTCGGTAACCATTGTTTCTAGAGATGCTGTATAGGTATTCTTCCTTGGCTTTGCATAGCTCCGGGGTGCTGCAGTGTGTTGCGAATCACTTGAACAGTGTTTTGATGCAGCTGCATTTGTGGGTATTGGGATGATTGCTAATGTAGTTGAGTACCTGACCCATGTGGGTGGCCTTACATTGTATGCTGGTCTGCAGCTCACCATTGGCCATACGTTCGACCATTGTGTCCAGGAAGGGAAGTCTGTCATTGTTCTCCACTTCCCTGATGAATTTTATGCCAGTGAGGATGTTGTTTATGAGTAGATGATGGGTTTCTTCCAGTTTAGCGTGTTTGATGATCACAAAAGTGTCATCCAAATTGCGGATCTATAGTTTTGGTTGGATGGTGGGAAGTGCTGTCCATTTCACTCTTTGCATTATGGCTTCCGCTATTAATCCTGATATCGGTGATCCTGTGGGTGTTCTGTTGATTAATTGTTGGTGTATCTTGCTGTCGGAGGTGAAGTGGTTTGTGAGGCACAGATCCAGTAGGTTAAGGATGCCATCTTTACTGATGGTGTTGGTGTTGTCGGGCATCTGTATCCATGACACCCAACAACACCAACTCCATCAGCAAAGACGGCACCCTGTGCCTCACAACCCACTTCACCTTCAATGGCAGGATATACCGACAAATCAATAGGATACCCACAGGATCACCGATATCAGGATTAATAGCAGAAGCCGGAATGCAAAGACTGGAATGGACCGCAATTGAGCTATAATAAGATGTAAGAGCTGCTGATGCTGGAGTCAGAGATAACACAGTGTGGAGCTGGAGGAACACAGCAGGCCAGGCAGCATCAGAGGAGCAGGAAAG